GTTGTTATCACGGTTTAAGAGCCCCCTTGCTGAAATTATGGGAGAGTCTTCGATAGACGTATTCATTGCCCTCATTATTCGAGCCTGGTTATTATTAGTGTGATGTGGGTTTACTTTGCAAGCCTACATTCTTCTGTGTCGCTAGAGAATCTGGGGCGCGTCTGATGAAGTGGAAGCGGCATTCTCGATCTTGTTGAAAGTCGGATTCCTCGCATCCGCAGATCAGTGATAGTGTCATAGCATTTGGAGCTGGGGATAAGGGAGTGTTTGCGGGTACTTCAGTTATGACTGGTGGAAGGATGTGTACCTGGACCCACCCATTTCTACGCCCGTGACAGATATGCACTAGAAAAATAAGATGGAGATTCAAATAGTGATCTAAGAAAGGCTCAGCGACTTCTGTGTAGGTATGACGACGCTTTTCTGGTGTTGCACCTGTTGGTGGAAATTCGTAACGTAGCAGGGGTCAATTGATGTCGCGGAATGATATTGACTCCTATCACTATCGTCAGCAAGGGTTGCTTTAAGAAACCCACATTTTGGATCAGTCGTATGACGCGGGATACCATCTAGTTTTCGTATCCTCCTTCTTTGTTGACCTTTCTTCCTTTAACGGCCCCGGTGCAGCCGTCATTCACAGAGAGCCGCGGTGTGGCGAGATAGACAGGGAGGTTGACTGAGGGTTTGGAAGGGGTTTGGAAAGGTTTCCTTAATAGAGCTAAACGCAGAGAAATCTCAAAGCGGGCAGTTGAATGCTCTATCGTGATAACGCTGACGAAATCTGTGGCAATCCTTCTTCCTTTCTTATCTTTTCTTTCAAAGTTTGTCGCTTGGGGCAGCACCTTTTTGACTGCCGTATGACTCTGACGGGGAAATATCGAGGGCTAGGATGGCCTAGGCTAGAGAAACGTCTATAGCTACCTAAGGGGTATACAGAAGGCGCGAGTTTCCAGGGGCAAAGGGCATCTCCCTCTTCACACTACCAGAAATAACTATCACTCCTTCAACATCAAGATGTCGTCGCCATACTTTGTCGAAAACATCCATGACCGCTGCAAAATTTGTGGCAATACTAGGTGTTGATTTCGTCTGGCTACATTCGTCGCTGTTTGGTGAGGATGATGTACTGAGGCCGGTTTGGCTCATGCCGTGATAAGAACGCTGAGGAGCGACTCAATGGGTAAAAGATGTCGCAGTCACACGAGACATTGGAGGCGGCTTGTGTGCAGAATCTGAGTGCAGCATGCCACCCTCCAGTCTCATGCCTCGGGGGTTTTCTACCCTGTCCTGTATCCCTGCCGATGGCCCCGACGACTCCCCCAGAGTGCACCACTTTCCTGGCTCGGCACTTTAACACACTCTCCTATGTTCCGGCTAGCATGACACATGCCCTTTTGATTGGCTAAGGTCGATAAAGCCAGGCGCAAGCGTTAGCAATAACTGTGCCGGCCGGAAGTCGCTGAGATATTAGGGAAGGGCACGCAAATGTATCGAATGACTTTTTGGATGTGCTCATTTCGGTTCTCCAACATAAACTTCCTCATAATCAGGCTCTTCTCCTTAGAGAACGACAGTTTGCATTATGCGAAGCCCTAAGCTTTAGGCTTGGGCAACCTGGGATATCATCGACATGCTCGAGCTTGACTCATTGGCGTGGAAAAAAGCAGTCGAAAATAATTGAAAATCGAGCAGCTATCGCAAATTTGCTCTTAGAATCCAACGAATTTCCGAAATTCCCGTGTGTTTGTAAGGGAATACCTGTCCGCTGGCCCGACTCGGACACATCTAGTTTCTACGCAGACCACAATGGGCCCATGGAATCATCGAGAAGAAGCCGATTGCTGTCTTCTGAGCACGTGTCTAAAACGCAGAATCTGGAGCAAGAGTACACCAGGAATCTTCCGGCGACGTCTGACGATTGTGGCTCCGACTTGAGATTGCCTTCTTTGACGTCTCTCGGTCTTCCGACCACATTGACCAGACGGGGTCTACTCTGCGTCTTGATACGAGTAAATTTACCATGATGAAATAATGATATCATCTTTCGGAGAATCACAACATAAGGTACACTTCGCAATGCAGTGGTCTGAATGAGACAGCCACCGTCATGAGATACACCGGATTCTCATATCGCACGGTTTTATAGCTCATCATTGGGAGATTGACTTTGAATGTACGCCTTGGTGCTACCGTGCCTCATCCAAGTGACCTTTCAAGGCTCACCCACTCTTACTTGGCCAGTCGCACTATAGCTCATGATTTCGTTCATTTCTCCCAATTCTCCAGCATCGAGGCGTGAGAAGGCATTAAGTATTTGTCCATGTCGTGAAGGCGTGTAGGCGGGCCAGCCCATTCCCGAACAGGCATCACCTTGTAGCGCAGCAAGAATATCAATAGGAACTTGGCGAAATCTACAAATGTCTGCTTTCGACCGCCCGCCACATTTACTATGTACTATGGGCCTCAAGTTTGAGATTCCAGCAACATCTATAACCTGTCGGATTGCCTCTAGGTTTACCCTGAGTAACGGCGGTTAGGCAAAGCCTGGACTTCATTGGATCCAGGCAAGCGATTGTGTCTCGCCTGCAAATAGATGGGTTCGAGTCAATATGGTAATAGGATAGATTGGGCAGTTACAAGTTTCTGAAAAACAACTCTCGTGGTGTCCAGTAAGACACATAGAGCTTGCAGAACAGCCAGACGTTTCGAGAATATTCAAGCCATGCATATAACTTGCGCTGCACGTAAGAATCTCGCAAGGTATTTGGCACAGCTGCAGCTGAAAGCGAAGTCTTGCGGTTTTAGTTTCGTGCACAGGCATCGTGACCAAGGTATTCAACCTGAGAGGCATCAGTACTAAGAGTTTCGGACACGGGGATGTAGCTAGGGTGATGATCGATGGGTTGAGGGTGGAGAGTGGGAACGTTGAAGAGGACGGATGAACTCCCGCATCTGGCCCAGGCCAGTTCAAGAGAGCAATAGCCTTTGTTTGACTCGATTGGGTATTGGGATTCTGGTTCTACCGTCAAAGTGCTATTGATTTGACTTATTATTGGAGATCTATCCCAGCTCGCTCTTCCAGCATCATCAGCTCATCTCGTGGACTTCTGTGCTTAAGCTTCAAGAGCCTGACTTCCCTGCTGTTTGGGGCCCGGCCTTATTGGAAGCTGTGGTGAAGTGGCTTTCAACATGTCTTTGGCATTTTGGTTTTGATTCTAGTTCTGCTCCCATGCCGGGCCAACATGAGCTACATGTGCCTGACACGAACCGGACATGAAGAACTCCCGGACTACACATGCACAGTATCTAGACATCCCGAAATTGCCCTCCGTATTTCTTCCTCTTTCCATATACACCAGGTCCGTGTGAACAGTTCCACAACCAAACCTGATAACGTCCGAGGTACCGCATGCAAAACATCATGGTCTTCGACGAGCGTAATATCTCTAACCCTCATTTAGGTCGGAGGACACAAATGACTTGGCTCATAGAATATCCGAGAGAGCATGCAACAGCGTTCCACAGACAAAACACCGCAGCAAGACATGCAAAACCACTCGATCCATTTGTCGTCTGCTCGGGTGTGTGTTGTGTGATTCGAACGGTGAAACTGTCCCCATCGGTCAACTCGCGTCCACAATTGACACTCATGGACACCGAGAGTCTGTAGCAGGATCCAGTATAAGGTTCGTCGCGGGGTTTGTCTTCGGCTTCTTTATTGTAAGTGCGATACTGACGAACTTGCGGGAAAGATCGCGTGTGATGGTAGACACTAATGTCCACTCGCCCCTGCTCCTGGGCACGGTCTCTTCGGAACATCAAAAGATGGGAAAGCTCCTGGTATGCTGTCACTTGTAATTTCAAAGATGTCATGGTCAGGTTGTTCTCGCTTTGGATAAAGTATCCGGAATTGGATTTCCATGCTAAGTAACCCAACTCGCGTGACGCCTCTGCTTGGCAGTGCTTGGGACGGCATCACGACCGACGTATCATCATATTTTGTTTTCTTTCCGACCACAGATGGACTTGGAAATGGTGCAATAGCATGGACGAATAGATTTAAACGCGGCCGGATCTGAGAGTTGACGAGAGGGTTGAAGTCTCGGCCGCCTGTCTTCAGGCTCGAAAAGCGGAATAAGCCGCAATCCGTATTGGAGTGGCCATCGGCATCGTCTTGGTAATGGTTGGAGCGGGGGGGATTTCTGCGTCATGCATCATCAGCTCCTCAGTGGGTGTGTTCTTGGGTGTGTTGAGCGCGCCATCGTCCGCCACCGTTCCTGAGGTTTTGCGTTGAGAGCCAAGAAAAAACAGTGGATTACCTTAGTGAACGGATACCTCCAATGATGGTGTTCGATGTGGCCGTGCTCGATATGGCTGTGCTTGAAGTGGCGCGGGCGATGTGGCGTTGCTCTCCTCAGGGGCCTGCTACTTACTACTAGGTGCCTTACCTAACGCGACGTGATGTCACTGATCGCAGGGAACACCGAGAATCTGAGTAAGCAGCTGGTGTGGCCCGTGCATAGGTGGCCTTGTAGGTACTCGCAGGAACTGGTCGATGGGCTGCCATTGGCTCTGGGGATTTCCCGCATTGCAAGTGTTCCATTAGGTAAGCTGGCACAGGACACCCATGGAACCCTGACACTGACACTGAGTGAGGTCACCCAGCCAACCCCCAAGCTCCAGTACGCTGCTGTGGCCCCGCGACCGTGGTCCGAAATCAAATCCCCGAACCCGCACCACAATGTCGTTGACCCATCCACAAGACAAGCCCGGCATCCACGCGTTGTCAAACCGTCGACCATTTGATACGCTTCGCTGTTGCCCATCCAGTCCTGATGCAGTCGCAAGATAGCGTTCTCGCCTGGATATCCTCTCTGCCCAGGTATCCTGCCGAATATCTCAACCACCACGAAAGCGACAGCAACAGCCGCAAGCGCAAGCGGGCACCAACATCGACATCGCCATCGCACCGTCTGCCCTCGCCCCCAAAAAGTCCCAACATGGACACGACTATGCAAGAATACTACGGTGACGAGCCCGCCGAGGATGACGCCAACGCCCAGAACACAAACTCATCACAGCCGTCGGCACCCCTCCCGGACCCCAATTCCACCCCGAGGGCGCCAAAACAACAGAGGACGATGGGGACGATGGCTTCGGAGGCCGCTGTGTCGGACGCAGACTCGAGAAGCGTCACCACGACCTCCTCCATCAACAGCTCAGCACATTCCCTTGGGACATCAGCTTCCAGGGGGAAGAAGCGCCCGCGCCAACCGAGTCCACGGAAACAAAAAGCCGTCATGAGCCTGGAGGATGCCATCGAATCTGTCAGCTTCGGGAGTGGCATGGACCGACCTATTCTGTTAGATGAACTCGAGAGCCGCATAGAGACTCTCGCAGAGGGCAGTGGAATTGTGTCCCCCACACACAAGGTCGGTTCTATTCCCCGCCTCATCTGTCTGACTTGGTCGCCTCAGTCACCTAACCACTATCTTTTCCACAGAACTCCCTAGTTTCCCAGGCGCAGCGCAGTCGACAGTTTAGCTGGGTCAAGAATAAATCTTTCGCCCGTATTTCGCCGCGTCGTGCTCCTCAGGATTCAACACCCCTGTCTAGCCGTGATCAACTGGGACCTACGCCAACTGTCGAGTGGGTCAAAGAGATATGGCGACAAGCCGATGATGCCGAGAAGATGGGCCATCACGAGGGCCACTGGAACTGTGCTGTCCATTATCCTTTGCTCTATGCCGCCCTCCGCCACTTCCAACAGATGGGCGTCTGTAGCTGGTGCGCCTACCTCCCAACCCCCCCACCCTCCCTCTTGGATTCTCGTTTCTAACTGCAACTACCTTAGTACCACGGCCCAGATTCACGCAGACTACGCACGGTTCGATAAAATAGCCCATCATAACAAGAGGGTCGACTTCTGCGTTTATGTCAAAGACGACTCCCCCGAGCTGATTGCTGCGACTCTCGCTTCCCCATTCCAGTCCATCAATCACACTGACACCGCTGGGCTCCTCCAGCGGCCCATCGCACTCTCAGTGGAAACCAAGCTCACAGGGCATGACTGGACACAGGCACAGAACCAGATGGCCGCCTGGCTTCTCGCGCACTGGGATATGCTGGATGACCTCGTCACGCGGGTCAGGGGTGGTGTAGTGGTTCCCCGGACTGGAGACGACGCTCGAAGGCCCCGGCCTTCGCCAGCGGCAGCCGCCGGGCTGACGCTTTTGCCCGGGATCATTGTGCAGGGACACGAGTGGTACTTCGTTGCGGCGACACGTGCCGCGAATGGGAAAACCAACCTCTGGCACAAGATGCCAATCGGATCTACGCAGACAATCGAGGGGATCTACAAGGTGTTTGCAGTGTTGCAACTGCTTGGGAATTGGATACAAGAGACGTACTGGCCGTGGTTTCAACGTGTCATCCTTCGCCTTGAATGAGGAGACAGACATGTTAATAACGATAATGATAATCAACGACGTTACGAATCGCAGCCTCTAGGCGCACTGTTCCTCCCCAGTTAGGACATGAATGATGGAGTACGTGCATGATCTGAGGGAATATGGATTGCTGACTGCGAAGCTCATCAGCGTTGACGGTAGTACAGCGCCAGTCTCAGCGAGTGTCGGCGTTTCCATCATAATATCTGCATCGGCAGGCCAATTCGATCCTGTACCCCTCGTTGAACAGCTTGAAAGCGAGAGGAGAGTCTTTCAGACAAGATCAGGTGTTCGGATGGAGGCAGAACAAGGGATGGCACGGCTTCCCGTCGTGGAGTGCCCTCTTTTTCAATAGACTGCGTCCAGCCCTGCTCTATTAACTTGTAGCAGTTCCACGTCTTGCTAAGTCCCCCTGTCTCGGAGACAGCAGCCGAGCCTACATCCGTGACAAGCCGAACCGCATTCTTATTTTCATTTAGAGAGACAGCAACGAATAGCTTCAGGAATTCCACTCAAAAGTCCCCACTGAGAAACCCAGAGTCTCCCACGTCACCATGTCCAACTTCCGGGGACAAGACACCCCGCACACAGACAACCGTGCTGCTTCTACCGGTGATGTCTTTGCGATTTCAAACCTGCACCGGTGTGTCACAGCACGGGACTCAAGTCTTATACGTGGCCTTTTTTGGATGAAATCTTACCGCCGTGTGACCTGACCTGAATGTCGCAAATGCTCGCAAATATCTATCCCTGCGACAAGACGCCAGTTTCTCCAGCCACCGCCCACTTCGCTGCGGCAGAGAGCGATCGCCAGCCGGATATTTGCGAGATATTGAACCGGGGCTCACCACTTTCCTGTCGCCCCGAACAGGACCAAGGGAATTGCCCGTTCTACCGCGCTGCTGTCCTTCTTCAGCCAAGAAATCAAATGCGCCGTACTGATACGTTTGCTGGTTTATGACTCGAGCCAGAGACACCGAATCGCCCCGAGAAAGATGACGTGAGTTCACCGAACAGTTTCATAAACGCTTCACTCAGCCCTAGCCGCCGAGACAAGGCATCTCAGCACTTAGGCAGGCACATCGCTATCCCCAAGATAGATGGCACACTGACATGTGGAATTCCAGCATTGTTGGTGCCAGCATGACCATCAAGTGGCCACATGAAGAAAAAGGCGCAGGGACCCCTAAAATGGGAGCTATGCATAGGTGGCCATAGAGGTTTCTCTGTGAGCCATCCTGGCCCTCGAATATTTCCCGGTGAGAGTCATACGGCAGTCAACAAGGTGCGCCTCTAGGCGGCAAACTGCGAAGAGAAAAAAATTAGAAGGGAAGAAAGGTGGGAGTTATGCCCACAAGGACTTTTTGAATCCTCGCAACCGCAAAATGAACAAGCTACCAATCAACTTTTGCTGTGTTTTATGCAGACCAGCATGGATGAGTTTGAAGTTACGAAAATTTCGGAAGCAGCTGCAGTTTCTAGTACAGTAGGGGGGCTTCGCACTAGTATGCATTAACATATCGCAAGTGTCTTCCTCTTATGGGTGTACGTTACTTTTGTGAAAGCATTTGGTGGTGTGCCTTTCCGCCTTGAACTTCAAGCGGCCAGGTTGGAGGTGCAACTTGCTTGAGACGCCAATCGCGCATGCTGTTGCGCATACTTCGGCCGTAAAGGGATCCACCACCAGACTCAAGTGAGCATATTTGTTGTTTTCCACGAGGGGAGTTCATGGCCAATATATCCTGACGACCTCCATGGTAGGGGGTGTCTTTCAACACAACGGGTGTTTTGGTCAGTGTCTTTGACTTACGACCCTGAGTCTGACTGATGCGGCAGGATATTTTATAGGCGAAGAGCCTACGAAGGATCTGGCCCCTTTCCACCGAATGTTCTTGTTGCCCCTTTTTCCAGCGAGTTGGTGTGGCTTACCGAGCCGCTTCGTGCGATCAGGAAGGACAAGGCAAGGCCGATCACGTAGAGATATGAATCACATGCTTGGTTCAGTCAGTACGCACGCTAGTTCAGCGACGTATTCTCAGCAATATTGCAACCCTGATTCATGGCGCTTTTGTCAATTTCGCTGCATTGTCCAAGCTTGTAGCATGGCGATTGACGATATGGGACGTGAGATAATATCCTTTTACCGAATGGAATAAAAGGCAAAGAACGAACCGTCGTTCAACATGCGGGTTGGGGGGGCTACAACTCCAATGACAATGGGCTACTCTCAGTCTGATGAGGCTTGCTTCCTCATGAAGACTATGGTTGGGTGTGAAGGATATATGATTCCATAGCTGACGATTGGTATTCAGACTTTTGTTTGTTGAACTGTGGCAGAAAGAGGTGCTACTTCTTGCTCCACGCTGAGGTACATTTGGGTGACAGTGGCTCACCATAGAGTGATAGAGTTGTATGGATGAAAAGCTGCTGAAAGAATGTTGTCAAGAACAAAGCTTGCGACAGTTGCACTTGAAAATACGTCGCTGAAGATGTGACTGAATCCAAAATAGCATAATCTTGACAATCGCAAGCTAGCCGGATGTTCCTAGCATAAGATATAGGGAGGTGGCAGTCAGTAGACAAGGCTTCTTGGTTACATCTAGCCAGGCAAAGCCGAGGAACGAGGATTTCGAACGTCTCTCCACATCCTTCACGCTATTTGATCATAGTGGTAGAATTGAAGCAATCAATCATCTTTACAATGGCGGCCGGTCACAGGAATAGAAACTCATGACAGGACCGAGTAGTTCGAAGTGTTACATGAGTCGCGAGAGCCAAGAAGCCTCTATAAGCTAGTGGATACACTGTCCAAGTGCTTTTCACTCACTTTGGGGCTCACCTAAAAGTGGTCGCTTTTAACGGTATAAAGTAATGCTTAAGATAAGTAAAGTGATAAAAGTAAGTAGATTCGGACGTATTACTCTAATAGTTGTTCTATTTAGTTCTGCACACGGCTACTAATTTAGTTAAATAATTCTAATAGTCTGTGTCATCCCTTGGCATTTCCTCTTCCTCGTTTCTGACTTGCGTGATCTGAGGTTATCCGAAGGCAGTGGCACGCCGGATCTGGCGAGCACTGAATGCGAAAGGCTAGATTTGATGCCCCGATCCCTAACGGGTCCATTATCTGAAAACCACGAGAAGCCAAAGGCTTCGGCGAACCATGGATGGTTTGCCTGAGAGCTCTTGGCGCCTGTATTCACCCCGTCTCCGTCGAAAGCTAGGGGAGCTTCGGCGATGACCGACTGTGATGTGTCGAAAGACTCGTCTGGATGCGGGGAGTCGGGGTCACACCTCTCGTCTTCGCAAAGATCAGGGTCGTTTACGCATAAAGGTCTGGACGAAACAGCAATGACCAAGACACCGATTCTCCGAAACACCAGCTCTGAATTTTCGGGGGCCAAGACTAAACAGTAGATGGCCTGGTGAATCCTCGAAGCGCCTTCCCAAAAGATTGGCAGTACGGGGACCTTTGAAGCGATCTTCCACGGACCCATCTCGAGATAACGTCGCATATCTGGCCAGTTCCTCGTCCAGCGGTTGTCCATTGACAGCTTGCATCCCTCACGGGACAAATGATTCCGCTCCACATAAGCAAGCGGACCTCGAAGAACGACCCAGCGCAGCATACCAATCAATTAAGCTAAGCCTGGGGGTCAGGCTTATCTAATTAACTAATTTTGCACTAGAAACTTATTTGATTTAATTAGCTTAGTTTAAATTAATTTATATTACTTATTTAGGAAGTTAGTAAAGCTTTTATAATATCTTAATATATTAGAAATATACCTATTTAGTGTTTTATTATTATACTACTCCTTATTAACCCTTCTACTAGAAGTAATACTTACTAATAGTAATACTATTACTTTAAACTTAGTTTTAGAAATACTATATTTCTTTAAATAGTAATAACTTTATTAATAGTTTCTATAACGTTAGTATTAGTTTAGTAAAACTAAATACCCTCTTATAGTTAATTACTATTACTAAAATAGTAAAGATATTAAAAATAAACTTATTAAGTATTAAGAAAGTCTATTAATATAAAATTTATTACTAAATAAGATTATTAATAAGCTAAGTAACTAAAAAAGTAAAATACTTCTCTAATTTATTAATCTTATTAATAATAATATTATAAAAGCTATTATCTAATTATTAATTATAATTAGAGTTTTTAAGCTTTAGAGGTATTATAATTAATATAAATAGCTTTTATAGAGGTTCTTAATAAGCTAGTTTATTAATATAAATAGCTATTTTAGTATATTATTACTCTTAGTACTCTTAAAAACCTTCTTTAGTAATTTAAAGCTACTTATAAGTCTTTTAAATATTCTAATACTTTTTAAGCTATTATAAACCTCTATTAAAGTGTAATATTATAGTAGTAGTATAAAGGGGAGATTTTTTAAACTTTTTATAGTAGTTATTAAGTATTTACTAGTTATTAATAATTAATAAGCGTATAAATATATAAGAATTAAAATTAATAGCTTAAAAGAGGTATAATAATATAGTAATATATTTAAACTATAAATAAGTAAAAATACTATTAATTAATAAAGTCTATAAGATTAATACTTAGCTAGATTAATATAATACCCTTATTAATTAAGATTACTATAATAAGAGACTTTAAGATATTTATATAGTTATAAGATTAATCTCTTCTTAAGTAGAAATATTATAAAGCTTATATTAGTTTTTAAGTTAATTTAAGAAATACTTAAAGCTTACTAAGATCTCTTAAAATTAACTATATTTATTATTTTTACTTTAGTTTTTATATTATTTAATCTATAAGTAGAGAGGATTAAATATCTTATTTAACTTAATAAAAACTATTAATCTTTATTAATTAAGATATCCTTATTAAGGATATAATTATCCTTATTCTTAAGCTTTAAGGAGTAATATATATAGCTTATAATCTAGCTATATTTAAGTAAAATGTAGTAGATTATATTATATATTAAGTTCTATTAAGTAGTATT